ATAGGCCACTTGCACTAAGAGGTCACGTGACCAATGCTTCCTTTAAACAATGAGTTGGAATCTTGCTGATGCCAAAAATGGAGAGAGCACATAAAAATTATCTTACACCCGAAATTTGAGAGGAAACACATTTAAGGGAGATATTTTATGGCACTTTGATTTTTCAACAAAGCAGTATGATTTGTATTGGCCGCCATGTTGGAGGGCATACTCTTGCCCTCCAACATGGCGGCCAAAACTACTTTTGGCTTATATCTGGTTAAACGTTTGGTGGTTACGCTCAGATGTGCTGTAAACGTTACCACGTCATTTTTTCAACATCTTCCTTGAAGTTTAAGTGCAAAGCTTGTGTTCAGAAAGAAGTAATTAATAATTTTAAAAATCACATTTTGGTCACGTGACCAGTGAGGAACTTACTCATTTTAAGAAAATGGTGCGGGTTTGAAAAACCAAATCACTATTATTCTGTTTAAGATATGACCCACTAATCGTTTTTCGAAGGCAAAATCATATAGCTTTCATTTTCATGAAAATTATGTCACATCACCCCTTAGTGCAAAGGGCCTATTGTTGGTTGGTCCAAAGCAGTCCCAAGGAGGTCAAACGACGTTTGAATCAGTGCCAGTTCACAAGATTGCATACTCTGTGGTCAATTCAATAAAACTTGTACAAGTGTAATTTGCAAGCGTTAGTTATTCACTTTTCAGTCCGAAAACAATAGCTACACTTGTAAACTACACTTCTAGCCCATAGCATACGCACATTACATTTGTTCCTTTTTTACACGACGTGTTTACAAGGCAGGTAGGGTTACCCTCCCTCCCTGCCTTGTAAACTCTCTGCTAGGTACACGGGATAATTCGCCTACCCGAGACGAGACAACTTTGCTCCGTCATTTATGACCAGTAGGGAAATTTTGAACGGATTAATCCAATTTTTCGAGCTAAATCTTTTAAAGGCAAATGAATAAAATTAGATGGTATCTGTATGCGATTAAAACATTTGTTCGTTTTTTCATGGAGATCTTCAAAATTTCATTCAAATTTTGGACGTTGCAAAGAATGTGTGTAGAAAAATGAGTTCAGTAGCAATATTACAAAATTCTACTTTACTCAAGACTTTTGGGATCATGGGCAAGGCGAAGTAACAGTTTGAACTCAACAAAAGCTTCAAAAACGTTCACGGCAAATGGCTGGCGGTTAGACTTGTATTCTAAAATTCATGTGTTCCTTGATTGAAACAAGGAATAGTATGTTTGTAAATTGATTCTCATGGAAGTATCAGAACCCTCCTAAACTGTTGGAACAATTATAACAGGGTTCACGCCTTTAACTAAAACAAATTTTTCAGGACCAGGAAATATACATTTATAAATTAATTCTTCCTCAGTTGTGACAAATTTACTTCCAAAACCTTTTTATTTGATACTCGAGTTAATAGATTTCCAGGACTTTCCAAGATGTCCAATTTTTTTTCAGGGCTCTTCCTCATACCATGGTCGCATTCAAACCCTGAATGAATTAGCTTACATGTATCCGCACCCTCCCCCTCCCGAAGGAAAAACGTTTTTCCTTTGTCGGGGGGAGGGTCCGGCTACATGTACTTTCACCCATTCATACCTATCACTTCAACTCTTCTCTTACACCCAATCGTTTTCCTATTTGAAGCACACACCACAGTAGTTTCAATTCAAATATAGAAAAATTTGTTACGAACTTGACTTGTACATATACCCAATGGCGTCTTTAACCTTTTCACTCCTCATAATGGTCAAGTAAAAATTAAAAAAAATTCCAAATGTCATTCCGTAGAACTCTTAAATCTTAATAGTACCATTCAAAACATCTGCCAAAAGGGTTTCATTTGACTTGTAACATCAAAGGGTTTTCCCACCGCTTAAAAAGTTAGAATGAGAAATCATCTTGCCACATAAACTTCGTCTTGGAGTGAAAGGGCTAAGCAACTATTCCCGGTCACTTCTGCAGTAGGCTCGATTTTCGCTCCTATCGAATCCTTTTCTCGGGGAGGACCGCAACTTCATTTCCCAAACAACGGCTGAAATCGAGCCAACGTCTGCAGCTAATACAGTTTATATACTGCGGGCAGCATTGAAATAAGCGGAGTAGGTACCTCTCATTAAATAGAACACTACAGTGTTTAGGAAGACAATGTTTTACAAATAATACTACCTATAGTCTTAAGGAGGTTATCATCAAGTACCAATGTTTATTTAAGGTAGGTCTTTCATAGCAAGTTACAAACACCATTGAACCCGTCCTCTTGAAATGTTCTGGCAGTCAACTTTAGGGATTCAAACATCTGAATTCAAATTTGTATTAAAAATCCATTTTTTATTTGCAACTGACGATTGAAACTGTACATCAGAGCTACTTGCTACTGCTACCACCAATAACATGAGGGAAATCTTCCGATCCGCTCCTTTGTTTTGAATTTTTTTTCAGGTACGCACATGCTTAATGGCATACAGGTAGCTACGCTCCTTGTCGGTTTCTTTCTCTGTTTTCAAACACTATTCACGAAGCACCGAGGGCGTAGATTCGCGCGTGGGAGGCTCGCAGGCCTCATGCGCACAGGGGGTTAGCCTGCTAATACAATCTCCTCACTCCTCGCCGCTAGGGAAGTTGGGGCTGTTGGGCTGTATTCGCAGGCTAACAGGGTGTGAGGAGTTTAAGCCTTTTAAAGTGTCTCTTACTTCGCTACAGACTTCTCATCTGACGAGGCAAAAGCAAAAGTCAATCTAATAACTACAAAACATGTTAAGCAGACTGTCTCATCGAACTCTAATGTAACCACATTAACAAGTTGATTTCATCTTTCACTGGCAATATTCTCTAATTTACAACTTGAAAATCCATAAGGAAACAGCGTATTGCAAGCGTTCATTAACAAAGCCAAATATTTTTAAACCCGTGAAAGCAAACCATCAGTGGTTACCCAAATTACATTGAATTCTAGCAATAAATATGAAAATTTGTTTTCCTAGCTAGTGCGACACTGAATAGGCGTTTCTGCTTCATCTTCGGCATCACTACCTTCAGCCATAGTAAACCTTGTTCGATATCCCATGTTCATTAACATCACCTCCAACGGGTCAGCATTCATTCGCCGTTGATTGGCTTTCGCAGCAGCTTCAACCTCGTCAATAAGCCAATCCTGTGTGTCCTCACCCTGGGGGCGTGGACTCCAAAGTCTGATCACCGGATCAATACCACTTGTGGCCAAAAGGCACATGCTAGGATGGGGCTGTAAGCAATTCACAATAGAATCATCACCCTTTAGTACTCTGACTAGATTCGTTGTCTCTTTGTCCCACATAAAGAAAGAGCCATCGTCGCTGCCTGCTACAATATACTGTCCGTTGCTCCCAAAGAAGTTTGCTTCTTTGATGTCAGTAGTTGTGTTACAGTGTCCACAGAATCGCTGCTCATAATCAAGAGCTTGTGAACGTAACTCTTTCTCCTGATCGGATACAATGCTGAGCCGCCTCCTGCGTCGAGATGGAGTAGTGTCTGACAGTGGGCTTGTCTCTTCGTCATCATCACCTAAAGGACACAACCCAAATCTTGATCTAAACTCAAAGTTGCACCTAAAACGCTGCGTATTTCTTACTTAAGTAACATACTGTATTAAACATTACCTTCATGACTAAATACCAAGTGTTATCAGGTGAAGCTTTAACCAAGAAATCCCACCTATCTTGACAAATTTGCCACAAGAAGAGTGAACAGTATAAGTCATCGCTACAGAGCCAAATGATATCAGCAGTGGCGGATCCAGGGGAGGGCCCCCAGGGGGCCCGGACACCCCCTTATTTTTAAACCCAACTGAGGCCCGAAGGGCCGAAAAAATGATTTTTGGAGACCGGTTCCCCCTTGCCCCCTTAACTAAGGGTCTGGATGACCCCCCCTCCCCCCTATCTCAAGGTCTGGATTCGTCACGGATTAGGGAGCTTAAACAACGATGACGGCGACGTCAACGAGAACGGGAAAAAGCAATAGGTTAAATTAGCAAAACAACAACTTTGCACGTGCATCATGCTTTTTTGTAAATTTCTTTACTGTCACTGCACGATAACGACGTGGAAATGCCTATTTTCACGTTTTGTGGAGGACGTGAACACAAGGCGACGACTTTCTTTTCTTTTCCTGGACTTTCATATAGTCTTTTAGAATTAGACTACGAGTAGTTCCCCATTTTTCCTCAGGGATAGTAGAGCGAGCGAAACGCGAGCGCGCGTGAAAATCACCCCACGCGAGAAAAGGTCGGTCTATTAGAATTCAACTCCAGAAAAAAACTGCCAGTATAACGAACCTCTATATAACGAAGCCATCGGTATAACGAACGATTATCTTGACCCCAGTAATAGTAAAATTTCTGGGAAACAACCTCGACAAAACGAAACCTCGTTATAGCGAACAAATTATACCTTCGTTATAGCAAGGTTCCACAGACCATGCCCCCATACATTGTGTAGACCGCCACCCATTCCGACACAATGTCAAGAGATACTGGGCTTGCTCATTTTTTGATAACTAAAAGAGTTAGCGGCCAGACAGTAGCCATCTTGACACGGTGGTCAGCAGTCGAAGGATGATGAAGATGATACAGTGGAACCTGGGACGGAGGAAATTTTTTCGTTATATCGAGGGAACCTGGATTAAACGAATTCTGGGGGGAAAACAACCAAAATGTTCCTTATATCGAAGGTATAGGTAATAATTAATTTTCAACGTACATTACTTCCGGTTCTGAACTTATTGTCTCATTACAGAGCTGCACATAGCTCCGGCCAGACNTCCGGTTCTGAACTTATTGTCTCATTACAGAGCTGCACATAGCTCCGGCCAGACTACGAGCATTTCCTCATTTTCCCTCAAGGATAGTAGAGCGAGCGAGACGCGAGCGCGCGTTTCTCTCTCCCCGCCGCTTCTCACCTTTCTCGCGTGGGGTGAATTTTACGCGCGCTCGCGTTTCGCTCGCTCCACTATCGCTGGGGGGAAAGGAGGGTCTACTCGTAGTCTAAGCACCAGCATTAAAAGGGAAGCATTAACTTAAGGTTGATGAATGTCTAAACCATGATTCAGGATTAGGGACTCAGGCATATTTGCACAGCTTATAATTTTAGAACCAGTGTTAGGTTTCTCATCAGTCATTACATCAAGGGCCAGTGATAGTTTTAGAAATGTTAAGTAAAATTACTTGAGGCTAGTAAATTGTAAATCTACAGCTTGAGTGTAAAAGTTGATTTCCACTGACGTAGACTGCAAAACTGTCCGTATTTCTGCTTATTCAAGTACGCACGAGCAGTCAAACAAAAGGTCTGGAACGAGGCTGAAAACAGAGAGCGAGACTGGGGAGAGACGCTAAAGACGTTTTTTTTCTCTCGCCTCACACGCCCGCTCGCGCTCCCCGCGCGCGTAAGACTCTTACGTCACGCCTTACCGATTTCTTTACTGATTTTGAGCAAAAAACCCGACTCTTTTGCAGTCTACCACTGACGCGTTCTTGGCTACGCACGTTAACGCAAGTAAAATTTAATCACGTAAATAAAATAGAGGCAAGATAAAAAGTGCTGAGCTTAAACGAGAAGTTGAGTGAGGTTCAACTTTTACGCTTACGAGCGACCTTTCATGCATTGCCTCTATTTTATTTGCGAACGTAAATTTTACGCACGTACGCACGTAAAAATTACGCGACACTGGAAATCAACCCTAAAAGTACTATTTGTAGGACTTCATATAATAGATTGGTTGGGAAACTCAAGGAGAGTTCTCATATGCACTCATATAGCATAGCAGTCTGATCGACTTAGCAAAACAAAAATGCTTAAAACAACTGTGCACAACAACTTTATCCTTGTTGATCTGTTTAGCATTCATCTTTCGTCAAATGTTGACATTAATTCGTTATATGGAGGTATACCTTACGTTTGCACTTCTGGATGTTCCATACATTCTCCTGTAATTTTGGCCAGACAGAAGAAAATCGTTCGTTATACCGAGGACTTCGTTATAGAGAGGTTCGTTATCTCGAGGTTCCACTGTACAATGACACATTACAAAATTTTACCACCTGGTAAAGAGATTTCGGAGGATAGCTGACTGCCTGAATGACTTTGTGAATTGCTTATTGATCCGCACACTTAAGTAAGCAGGGCTGTTACTAAGATTTTAAAGTGTCCGGTAGATACAGTGAGTATTTAGTAGTATTTTCTCTTTTTTTCCTGTGAACATATCCGGGGATCATGCTCAGAGAAGCCCGGGAAAATAGTGAAAGCCTAGGTTGACAACCCTAACACGAAAAGCAACAAAATCAAGCAACCCACCTTCTGTCTCAGCAAAAGCGGCTGCTCTTATGTCCTTTTCTAAAGTCTTTGCCGCAGTTCCTTCAGCTTGCTCAGGAAATTTTAACTTGAAATTGTTCAAACAGCTTAAAGCCTCTTGAAACCACCTTAATTCGTACAAGCAGCGCGCCTGACGGAAATGAGCCTTAGTGTGATTAGGGTCCAATTTAAGGGCTTTGTGACAGTCTCGTAATGCTGCATAGATATCTCCATCCCTGAAAACAAACAAATTTTAAGTTAACTTTAGACTGCGTGCAGTCTCTTTTTCTTCAGATTTAGT